GAGGGTTTCCAGGGGTGTGGTGGCGACTGGAGATGTGAGTAGTGTTTGGATGTTGGTGTTGATTAGGGAGGTTATTACGGGCCTGTTGATGGCGTTTTGCGTTATGTGTAGCGCGCAGCTGGAGTAGGCGTCTGTTGGTGAGTTAGCTTCTCTCTCTCTCTCTATCTCTCTCTCTCTCTCTGTCTCTCTTCTTTCCCATTTCTTTTATATTTTATATTTTATTTTTTGTGAGGGAGGGAAAAAGCAGAAAACTATAGATCGACTTGCCTTGCATGTGTTTGGGCATGCCATTGACATAAAGCTGTTTATGGGACCAAGGAGTTTGGTTCTCTTGGACCATCATCTTGGGAACGTCCTTGAGGACATCGATGGCGAACTGGAGCCGGGAGGCGATGATTTCGGAGAGAGCCATCGGGGGTCTTGTTACTGGCGCAGTCATTGTGTAACTGGGCCGTGGGACGAGAACACCAGTGGGTGCTTCCGCCAGACAAGGAGCGTCGATGTCGATATAATCCCACTGTGGATCGAAGACATCGAATGGATGAGCGATAGCAGGTGGGTCTGGTAGTTCAGGTATACGGAACTCGGTCGTACACGAGTCAAATGATAACGGTGTGTCAACAGTCTGCGCAATCGATTCAAACATCGCGTCGATCAACTTCTGTGGGATTGCAGGCTGTCGTCCTGGGTAAATGCATGGTGTATTCCTGGTCGCGCATCGAGAGCAAGCCGGGAATGCGAGATCGCAGCGTCGCTTGGCGGTCTTGCACGCTTCGCATGATTTGCGTCGCGGTGGGGGGTTTTCTCGCTCGGCCAATAAGGGGTTCATTGTTTTCACGCTGGTATCAGTTTTTGCGGACTTCCGCTGTCCAAGTGGGAGAAAAGCTGATCTTACATTTGCCGCGTGGAGACATATCGCTTCATGTGGGTCTGCCCGGCGGAATTCCGCAAGCTAGTTGGGTGTTTGGCCAATTGGAGACGACGCCGATGGTTAGGGTTGCGGATTGGGTGGAACTCCGCTGGGATCATCGAAGAGTATGAAATCACTACCATAGAAAGCCGTCAACATCGGATGGATATCTCAGAACATCACACAGCCTTCTCTTTCTCATTCACAAAGCTACTTCAATTCTCAATTTACACAAACACTCATAGTAAACCACTGCACTACATCACACAATGTCCACCTCCACTTTCTTCGTCTGCGGTGCTACCGGCACCCAAGGCGGCGCCGTGATCAACCACCTTCTCAAAGCTGGCGCCAAAGTCCACGCCATAGCCCGCAACCTCGATACTCCAGCGGCCCAAAGCCTCCAATCCCGCGGGGTACATCTCACACAAGGCGACTTCACCGACCCCGACACCTTCAAACAAAGCATGAAGGGCTGCACCGCGCTCTTCCTCAACCTAATGCCAGACCTACGAGTCCCAAACAGCGAAGTCCACCAGGCCGAGAACATTCTATCCGCTGCTAAAGAAGCGGGCATCAAACATGTCATCTACTCCAGCGGGTTCTCCGTCGACGAGCCCCAACGACTAAAGCACTGGGACCCGAACAGTTTCGTGGCGAAGATTCTCCTTAACAAACAAACGGTCGAGAATAAAGTGAGAACGGCTGGATTCGAGTACTGGACTATCTTACGACCTGGGAACTTCATGTCAAATTTCCTGCAGCCCCTTGTCCAAATGTATACCGGCTTTGTCGAGACCGGCGTCTGGACTACGGCTCTGCTGCCTGAGACGAAACTCGCCATGGTGGATCCCAATGATATCGGAGCCTTTGGAGCAGCGGCACTGCTTGATCCTGCCAGGTTTCATGAGAAGGAGATCGAAATTGCTTCCGAGCTTAGGCAAGTGGGGGATATAACGCAGGCATTGGCGCGTGTGACCGGGAGAGATCTTAAAGTGGTATTTATGTCGCAGGAAGAGATTGAAAATCAAGCTGCGCAGAATCCGTTCATAGGGGGCCAGCTGTTGATGCGCGGTATGGCGGATCTCGTAGACTTGGAGGGGGTGAGAGCTTGGAAGTTGCCTTTGGGGACGTTTGAGGAGTTCTTGGAAAGGGAGAAGGAGGCAATTAAAGCGACTTGGTCTGTTTAGGTGACTTGATCTGTACTTAGGTTCATCCTTGGACTGAGTTTATGTTGACTTTACCTTTCTGGCCGTCTTAGCCTTTTGAATAATATATCATGTTTTTATCAGAAAGCATCTTCAAATTTACGTCAATGATTGTTGCGGCCATGTATGTAGGGCTACGAAAGTCCATAATCCGCTTTCCCAATGAGGTTAGCGTGGATCAATCGGAAATGCAAGCGGGAATCGGGAATGCAACAAACACAAATACAACAACCACTTCATCTGATCAACGTCTCATTGCCAAAACAACCACAATGCTTGTAATATCTCGAGCAGTTCGATGTAGAAACCGTCTTATACTATCAATTAATCGGGCAGTGATGCCCGTGAATCCCACTTTGCTCTCCCGGACTTTCTCCACTTCGCGCCCCTTTACCCTCCATTCCGCGGGAAGCTCTGAACTGTTTGAGTATACATCTGGGAGATGGATGTTTGTAACTTCTATAACTGCCCTATACTAGTTCCCGTATCTGATGATTGATGGTAACGGCCGGCAGCTACAATGAAGCTGTGAAACTCGCGGAACGACGACGTGTCTTCAACGTCCCCGAATTGAAGCGCCTTGCTGCCGAGTCGATTAACCAAGGCGCGAATGATGTCGCTCGCTTCGAGAAGCTTGCCGAGGGAGGGTTTAACCGTATTTTCCTAGTGACAATGAACGATGGCTCCCAAGTCATCGCTCGTATCCCGTATCCCAGTACCGAACCGAAGTACTTCGTGGTAGCCAGTGAAGTGGCGACTTTGGATTACCTTCGTCTACATGATATACCCGTACCCAAAGTTTTTGGCTACTCGGCCACCGCAGATAACGCAGCAGGCACGGAATACATCTTTATGGAATATGTCCGTGGACGAGACTTGGGTGACCTATGGTTCGACCTGCCCGAAGATGCCTGTTCCACAATCATTAAAAACATTGTCGAGTTGGAAGCTCGCCTTTTTAGACTACAATTTCCTGCCAGCGGAAGCCTTTACTATACGACGGATCTGCGCTCCAAAACTGATACACCATCCGTGCCGGTGGAAGATTCGCCAAGCAATGGCCGGTTCAGCATTGGTCCCGACACTTCGTTGCGATTGTGGTTCGGGAAAAGACGGGAACTGCAAGTCGATCGTGGCCCGTGTATGTTCCTTCCATAGCTTGCCTGACACTATTATTTAAAGCCCCACTGTGTAACGAGATTCACTGATAAGCTGTAGATGAGACTGCTGAAGCGGCTATGACCGCGGGCGCCAAAAAGGAGCTTGCCTACTTAGCTAGGTTTGGTAAACCACTTCAACCTCTCCAACCTATGTATAGAGAGTTGTACAAATACCAGAAAGTGTCACATTTGGGTCAAATGAGGAATTTAGAAAACTACCTACGGGCTGCGCCTCATCTTGTCCCTAGAAATTTTAAATTCCTCTGTGAGCCTACAATCAGACACCCCGACTTGCAACCGAATAATATCTTGGTCTCCGACGATCTGAAGATCACTGCCTTGATAGACTGGCAGCATTGCTCTATTTTACCTCTGTTCCTGCAATGTGGTTTCCCAGACAGTATACAGAATTACGGAGACGAGGTGTCTGAATCTCTCGACATGCCTAAGCTGCCAAACGACTTCGATAGCCTGGATGACAGCAACAAGTCCGAACAGCTCGAAATTCTCCGAAGACGGCATATTCATTACTTCTACGCGTGGTATTCTGTGAAGTTGAACTCTATTCATGGAATTGCTTTGGACCACGATCTAAGCATTCTTAAGCGCAAGATCTTCGAGCACGCGAGCAAACCATGGGAGGGGGACAACGTGTCGCTGAAAGCGGACCTCGTTTACTTAGCGCAGAACTGGGGTAAACTGTCGAACCCATCGTCCGGTACTAATCCAGGTGTCTGCCCGTTAGAATATTCGCCCGACGAGGCAAGCGAATGTTTGAATCTTAATGCCGAGCAGATCGAATCGGATGAAGAGCTACAGATCTTCAGGAACTATGTTGGAGTAGGGCCAGATGGGTGGGTGCCGTCGGACCGATATGACGAATCCAAGCGACGTGAAATGAAATTGAAGGAACTTGCGCTCGAGGCAGCTAAGACGGAAGAGGACCGGGCTAGGATCTCCGAGAATTGGATCTTCAAGGATTACGACGAGGAGATATACAGGTAGCTGTACTGTACATATTCTTTGCGCGGAGGTCTACGCTGGGTCAATCGTTCGATCATACTACGAGCGCCCGGATGTTCGGAATGGCTCAATTCTGCACTCTGCTGTAAATTATTTCGGATTTCTCTCCTCTCTGAGCACATGTACGCGAACATTGCAATTGGTGTTTCTTCGGCGGGCCATCCTTTCCGCTGTAAACCGATCTATTTATCGTGCTTGCGCCGAGCATCCTTGGAAATTGAGTTCTTGACTTACCTTTCCAGAATAATTTCTCAGTGTCAACGCTGCCAACGCTATTGAATTGGCAGGGTAAGCAACCCAACTCTAGACCAGGGAAATGTTGTATTAGATGAGTGGATAGCCTGTACTGCGCTAGAATATCCACTATTAGTTGTGATGATATTGTCATGGAGGACTCAGCGGGCCGGGCCCGATAAGGTTCGGGCCGTGGTTGCTCAACTTACCAATCCCTACCCTTGAGTAACCAACCATGCTGTATACCATTTATGGTACGGCGTCATCGCTACTTCAGTTGATCCTTCGTGAGCTTTCCAACATACAACACCGACGAGATCACTGAAACACACGACATCCTCTAAGCCTTGCTCTATCCAGGACCATAGATATATTGTTCATCTGGGCACTAGCAATCCGCTAGCGCATCACCTCAAACCCGCTAGACAAAGCATCATGAAGACTCACCAACACCAGACATGATAAAGGATCTCATGATTGAGCCTGTCATTGGAGTCGCTACGAACATGCCGATGCACTGCAGAACTAGGTCACCACCTAACCAAAGCCTGATGGGCCGGAATTCACATCTGCATGTCTGAGGTGATCGATTTGACGCCATCATTCTGGGACTTGCCACGTAGCAACTTCTGCTCGATCTTGTTCTTTGCCGGCTCGAAATGGTTAGATTAACCCATCCTGTCTGTCCACAGAGCTATGAGCCAATCACGCTACACGATTAGAGGGAATATAAACTATCTGAGGCTGGAGTCTGAGACGAAGTGCAGCTCGAAAAAAACCAGGACTATACCCCCATGTGCACGCGAGTTATCGTCACTGGGAGGGGGCGGGGGGATTGTATATGCCAGTCTTTACTCTCACCATTCTTTCTGACGAAGTATCGCGGATGGCCTAAGCCACTGATCGAGAAGCAGACTCGACTATTCGTCAATAACTACCACAATCTGTAGGACCAATGCTTGGAGACATTGCGCGTCTGTGGCCCTGGCGTGAGGGCATCCGATTTGTACAGTTCTTCGTTCCACGCTATGGATACCAATATTTTGGGCTTCAGCAATGGGCTTAGAGAATACCCGAGCACGTACTTAGTTAGTTCGATGCTCCCCTCTGGTTGCCAGCACGAAAAATTGAAATCAAATTATTCGTGGAGTGTCGAGAAGCAACGATATGTAGTTACGTAAACCGCACTTTCCAGCGGGTCGATGTTATCGATCGAAGACACTGGGATTTGAGAACCCACCGGAATATTCAGCCAGCCAAATAAGTGTCTCTTGCCGAATCCCAGAGCAGCACGTCTGCCAATTTGTGGATATGCAGGTAAGCGCTAGTCTGGATTGAACCGTGATGGTGCCGATCGGCAGGGACTGTGCGGGTCGACTCTAGTAGAGCAACATCAAATGACTTGGATCTCTCTCCACTGTTTTCTGCAGGCAAGGCACTGTCAGGACTCAGGAGAACCATGGCATCCTATTGATCTGTATTGGTTGGTGGGTATTCCCGGGGTCCTTGCTCCTAGCGGAAGGTCTTAGGTTGAAGAAACTGTGCAGCTACAGTGCCAGCACGGTGTCTTCATGCCAAAGTTTCTTCCTGTCTAAGGCATCTACTATGCAGGATGTACATTTTCTTTTTTTTTAAAGTGACTAAGATGCACCATACTGACACAAAAATCTCAGAATTTTATTGTGCCAGTGCCATGGCTCGATAATTACTTTCCGCAATCTATATTTGTTTAAGTTGATGGCACAATATATCGGTGGTGACACCAAAAAGTATAATCCAATCCAAGGCTATTGACACCGTCGTTCTACCATCCAGTTTCAGCATCCTGTACTTCCAGTGCAATCAAGTTCAGTGTACAGCGTACACCGCTTCTCCAACCCTAGCACCTCCCGCTAGATGCATACATGCACATACTAAGGAACCTGTCACGTAACGTATACGTGATTCAGATGCAAGTATCGCATGGATTGCGTCATCTACGATTTTATATCCATCACAGAGCCTAGTATACCACTTGACCTTCTGCGAAAAAAAAAAAAGAAAGAAAGAAAGAAAGACTCACCGGCCCAATCGGACAGTCTAGATCAGTCTCAGCGGCGGGCTAGACGACGACCTCCCCTCTCCTGTGGAATATACTTCCGATATGCAAGTATGTCGCCCTCGTTTGTACGCTGTATCCTATAGTAGCACTGTACGTGGCACACCAGCTAGCTGCGTATGCAACATCACGCCCAGACGAGCAGAAATGGCGAGCATACCTAGGTGACTGACTCCCTGAACAATCATCGATGACGTTGTAGAAGCCTTCTCTTCTCCACCCGGCAATGCTATAAGTAGAGAGCAGGGTGCTGGCAATGGAGAATTTCAGCATCGAACAACGTCATTCTCTATTTCTTCTCTGAGCTCCCTGATAGAAAAACCACATTAACTTCTGCCCTATTTCGCAACTATGAGTGACTACACCGGTCCCGGAGTCTATCAGCTGGTCAACAGGGCCTCTGACACTGCGTTTGACCTCTATGCCGCCGGAAAGGCCGATGGCACTAGAATTATCGGCTGGTAAGTGACACATGTGCCTTTGGGATCTCAACCCCTGTGTTTGCATTGGCTTACTCACATCGTAAAACCAAACAGGAAGCGCATCGGAGGCAACTCGCAAAAGTGGCAGATTGTGCATGCCGGAAAGGACGAATATATTCTTGTGAACGCCCATTCGGGGACCACTGCGACAGCTACAGGTATGTGCCTCGGCGTTAGATGGAGAGGGGTGTACTATATAGAATCATCAATCACTGACCTGGACCCCATCACAGCCTCCAAGCAGAAACTATCCGGAACGCTCGCCTCGCCTGTCAACAAGTTCGTCCGGTGGAAGATTGAAGCCGCGAAGAATGGTGCCTATAGGTGTGTGTGCCCTTGATGAGAATCGCTATTCGCAATGGGATGTTCAATGTTTCTGACCACTCTTTTTTCTGCGTGTAGGTTCCGTAGTGTTGCCCTTCCGGACCACCTGCTCGACCTGGGCAACGGAAATAAGGCAGATGATACCCCGGTGTGGCTCTGGCCGGAAAGTGCCGGTGCTGCGCGCCAGGAGTGGTATATCAAGCTCGTCTAGAGCCTCTGTTAGCTAGATCATGGATCATGCGCAGATGCAGTATGATTTGATCGTTCGCGTGTCACTATGTGCAGTTGTGTCTTTTTAGAGGCCGACCAATAGTAAATATATTGTTTTGCCACTGTAGCAAGCTGCCTAGCCGTAATTCGTTCAGAGCTTAATCAAGCAGGGCCGGTAACAGTGTGGGAACACAGGAACATCTTCCATTAAGTTTGCGGTGCTCTATAGCATAACAAAAGAAAAGTGGGCCAGATAGTAAGTAGAGAGCTTTATTCTGTGATATAGTCATGTTCTTCGTAGAGTGGAAGAGATGTTCATTATCTTGTATTAAGTGACATTAGAGATTGAATGTTCTATGAGTTGTTCGTTGTAGCCCTTGTTGAGAGAAAAGCCCCGACAAAGCATGTTATATCATTGCAAGCGTATGTCTTGCCCAGTTCTAGTGTCTGTAATCAGGCCATCTAAATTGAGCCGTGGTTACATATTAATACGGCACAACGTAGAACGGTGACAGCTGATGGACATGCCGGCAATATAGCTGTCTGATTGACCACTAACAGATGGTAGCCAACGCTCAAATAAAAAGCCAGTCATGATCTAGGTCTCCGATGTCAAAGATCCATTGTGTCGAGGAAGCTTGTTTGTCGATCTTTTGCCAGTACGATTGCAATGCCTTGGCGGCATTCACCACGTTCAAACAGTTCGTGTCCAACCAGAAATTCTCCAATGAAGTGATTAAAAAGTTTCGCTGGGCCTGTGACTGGCATTCGAGGCCGGCAACAAATATCGGCCAAAGAACGCACTTCAATAACCTGCCGTCGTCTCTTAACGCATCGATGACGCCTATTAATTCAGAGACGAGCTCATCTTGTGGCGTAGTCACACTGAGCAGAGCATCCAAGACGCGCTGGCCATAGATTAGAGCGCCTAGTTTGTAGGACTGTGCCAGTTTACAAAGGTTGCTTAGATATCGCGATGAAGTCTTCTGTGACTCTGGTAGATTTGAAGCCCAGGTGTAACAGTCAAACTTGTGGATTAAATCAAGCACGCTTGTTATATCTTGCATGTGCGTGTTACTGGTCGTAGACGGCTGTGGCTGGGGCTCGACCATGCTGTCCCGGTAGGCTGAAAGACATTGGACGGCATGTAATAAGTACTCAGGACACCCAATGAAAGATTGTTCGACTGTTTCATTAAGTAAGGACTCTGGATGGTCTAATGAGGTGCAACCGGATAGTAACTTAGGACGGACAAACGTTGCCCCAAGGGACTCGATCCTGAATAAAAAGCGAGTTAGCCAGGGCGTATACAATTTTACCTATTGAAGGACCAATGCACATACACATGAATTTGTTTGATGATGAACTTTCTTATCTGTTCCACAGTCCGTCCTGGATCCTTGGAACTCCCAGCCTGCACCTCATGTAATTGACCGTTGGTAATCAGCCTCTTAGCGCCCTCAAGGTGGAAGTTCCATTTGTCGCTTCCGGACTCCAAAAGATCTAGAAATATAAGAAGGAAAATTGAAGCTACGGTCGTGTCCTGCTCAGATATTGTCGGATCGTTCAGCGCATGCGTTAGTCCTTGTATAGCTTGGTGTTTGAAGACGAGAGCATCTTGGTGAATCTGCCGGAGGTCTGGGGACGCCTCCACTACAGCATTCCCAAAGGAATAACCGGAATTAGCCCTGTGGCGCGCCGCGAGGGCCAGTACCGCCTTCAGTAGCAGTGAATCGTTCACAGCCAGAGAGATAAGCCTTCTCAAAGGATTCTCCTCGCTATCATGAACAATGAATACCTTGCATATCTGGTCGTTATCTATAGACAGACATTAGCCACGGGATATGGTAATCACCGACAGCCGCGAACTGTACTTACAATAATCAAGGTAATACCTGGATGTCCGGTCCAAGTTCGAGACGGGACCCGCCTCCAGAGCTAATGATAGGCTTGCTTCATTCTCGACTACATCTGAGCAGCACAGAGTTAGCATCCAGACCGATCTACTGTCGCACTGGAATCGGATACCACATGCAGTGCGACTCTATAGAGCGTGAGACCTCACCAGTATGGTTTTTATGATCACGCCGAACCAAAGCAGACGATACTACCTTCTTACTACTTTTCTTCCTTGGGACCCGATCCAACGTCGCCAAGGATGCCGAGGCTGCCGACGCATCCTTCACTGTCAACCCCTGCAGTCTGCCTCGAATAGCCACGCCTTTGACCCATCTGAGGGGTCTCTTGTCATAGCACTCTAGTCCAGCTTTCAGACATTTCTTGCAGGGGACCTGTGATTGGTCACACTGGATGCGCCGACGCCGGCATGTATAACAAGGGTCGTACATGGTGCATCTCAATGTGGGGGAACACAAGAGGATGAGCTATGTGGCGAGAGATCCATCGGGTGACTAGTGCCAGCTATTTGCAACAAGAGTCATGATGCAGAGCCAGAATCGATGGTTACCTTCACAGTTGAGCCCGACTAGGGAAAACAGCATAGCATGACCAAGCTATGGAGCGGACGTGGAATAAAGTTTGAGGGGCGCCAACGATTTAAATTTCACGAGCTCACTTTAATCGGCACTAACCCCTTCAGGCAATGCCTGTCGAGAGGTTCAGCTTCTTCATCGGTCACATGATATGCAGGAATTAGTAGGCCATATGGAAGATTGCTGGAAAAAGAAAATAGTATAGGGTCTTCCAACCTTTTTAAGCATTGTTCAGGGTCCCGAGTGAGCACTTTATTGTGGAAACTCGCGCTAAATTTACTGCCCTATGCGAAACTTTATATCGTACGCGTTACTAAGTGATCTGCATAAATATCGCCCAACACCGAGCATATACATGCGGCTGGGTTTAATCGTATGTCGCATTTAGCATGGCAGACTCTCAGCAGTGATTCTCTGGAAAGTTGGGTGTTTTCTTCGAAATTTTCTTTGGGTAAGTGACTAATTCAACAACAAGAATGTCAGAAACGGTATATCTCAATATGTACAGTAGAAAGAATTCGTGACATTAAATCATGATTGCGACAAAAGGGACTTGAACGCTTTAAGTAAATCGTTCTTCAGGTCTTCCCAGTTTTCCAGCCCAACACTAAGTCGCAAGAGTTTCCGGTCGACTCTGGAGTCGGACAATGCTCTCCATTCAATCAAGGACTCAACTCCACCAAGACTGGTGGCATGCTGGAAGAGATGCAACTTGCTTGGCAGGACCCGTGCGAAATCTTCACTCTGTAGAACAATCGAGAAAACAGGACCAAAGCCATTTGGCATCTGTTTCCGCACCCAAGGCTCATCTTGTAAGCTAGCATGATGAATCTTTTGAACGATGCTCTGGATAATCTGCTCCTCGCTACCCGGGGCTGGGCTCTGGGCCTGTAGTCCTTGGTTCAACCATGTGATGAGTCTTTCGGAGCTCTGGCTTGCACGCTCCACACGCACTTCTAAGGTACGTAGACTGCGCAGGCCAAGCCAAGCTTCTAAATTGCCGATCACACTGCCGAATGCAAGTCTATCCTCGAAAAGCTTCTTGGTCCAGTCTTGACGCTTCGTCGCCAGAACACCGCAAAGAAGGTCACTGTGGCCTCCAAAATACTTGGAGCCGGAATGCATTACAATATCAGCGCCCCATTGGAATGGATCTTGCAAGCTTGGAGGAGCGAATGTGCTGTCGACAATGAGATAGGCACCTCGCGAATGAGCCTTCTGGGCAAAATGCTCGATGCTGAACGCTGTACCCAGCGGGTTGACAGGGGTCTCTAGCAGAATCACATCCCCCTCTTCTAAGCTCTCCGCGGAGCAATGGAGATCCAGTTTCTGCAGTCCAGATAGGCGCGAGAGAACACCGATCACCTCATGGCTGCCGTGGTAACCTTCGCCGATGGAGATGCGGCGGGGATTCAGGAGTACCAAAGCGGCAGTCAGAGCTGCTAACCCGGTAGAATAAGAGATTGCATTCCCACCGATGAGTGATGAAAGCACAGCCTCGAAGCGGGTTGCGTTTGGAGCAAACTCCCGAGAGTATATATAGTTCTTTCCGTTGAACTCATCCTAAGGGTCGTTAGTGGGCTGTGGAATTGTCTGAAGATGTACATGGTGGTAACAGGGTTGCATACCACAGGGTCTACCGATGGCAGGAGGTCATTGGGATTACTGGGAAACCTGTATGTTGTGGACAAATGAATTGGAGGCGCAACGTCTGTGACGAGATTGAGCGGGTCGTCGGCATGCAATGCTCGAGTTGAGCGATGAGTATCGTTTGCCGTGGACATGATGTCGCGGTAGTGAACTGAAGCCCAGAAATGAAGAAAAAAGACTCGAAGAAACCAGCATGATGGCAGACCATGCTGAGGGGCAGCATTTATAGATATCTGCAAGCGGATATCTTAGGGCCCACTCCCGCGACTTTCCTAACTGATGCTTACTCCTCAATCTCTGACACCTCATTGGTCTATTGGGCTAGAACTGCCCCACTACCATCAACTTCCCAAAAGAGACACGCTAATTCTGGCAGATTTTTGACATTCGGCGTCCATCCGAAGTGTTTGCCATCCTTCGACAAATAACTTCTGTTTCTACGCTGAGAAACGCCGTGAACCAGTAGAATACTTTTGGGAGTTTCTTACATGATCGAGGCCTGACTGAACAGCGCCCTATGACCAACATCTCGAGCTGCTCGGCCCTGTGCACCAATCAGGATGCGTATAATTCTTAAGTCAAGATTGACCCCTCGGTCCACTCCGTTAAGATTGGCTTCATCTGATGTTCCTTAATTCTTAATTCTAAAACTTCGGATGGGACTGCCCGTTGGGTGTGTCAGGTGATGACTCACCTTGACATGGAATATAAAAGCACCCGGATCCCTCTAGTGTAGCTAGGATTGCAAAATCAAATCTCGCCTTCATCCATCTCTCTCTTTTTTTCCGCAATACCACACAATTGCACATAAGTCATGTATCTCCGCGCAATTCACGCCGAAACATCGATCAAGGCTCTCTTTGAGCTGATTCAACAGAATCCCTTGGGAGTACTCACCACCGCCATCCCATCCACCACGCAACACTTCATACAGTCTAGTCATATCCCATGGGTGCTGGACATTATCTCCGATGACTCGGATGCGCCAGTGAAAGGTCGACTGCGCGGCCACATGGCCCGCCAGAACCCGCACAGCAAGACGTTCATCGAAGCTCTGAACGCCGCGGGCCTGCCCTCCGCTTCACCACTGCAGCAGGAAGTTCAAGTGCTCTTCACGACCAACACGCACCACTATGTGACTCCCAAGTTCTACACCGAGACCAAGCCCGCCACGGCAAAGGTCGTCCCCACCTGGAACTACGCCGCTGTGCAGGTCTACGGTAAGGCCAAGATCTATCACGACAGTTCCGCTCCCGAGACCTCGGAGTATCTCCAGAAGCAGATTCAGGATCTCTCGGAGCTGAGTGAAACGTCCATCATGGGCTACACGGGAGAGGGTGGCCGGCCGGACTCGTGGAAGGTGGCTGAGGCCCCCGAGCGGTACATTGATATCATGAAGAAGAACATCATTGGTATTGAGATCACCATTGAGGATATCGGGGGCAAGTTCAAGATGAGCCAAGAGTCGACCAAGGGAGACCGGGACGGTGTGATTCAGGGATTCGAGAACCTTGGTACAGAGCTTGGCCGCGACATGGCTGCACTGGTTCGCGAGCGGGGGGAGATGAAGGATGCAGGCAAGAAATAAACCCTATTATGTTGTTAGAGAACTAGAACAATACCCTTAGAATAGTCGTTATGAAAGGATTTTTTGATGATCCTGGTATCTCCGAAGAATCCTCAAATGATGAATGAAGTTTATCAAAATCGAGTATTGTAGATGTGGTACTGTAGATAGCTATATTCTTGGTAGGTATACTACAAAATCTATCCAGTTATTATTAAGAGTCTCTTAGGGATCGTAGATCTTTAGGGATATCAGCACTAGGTGGCTAGGGGTGTCAGTACTAGGTGTTTAGAGGGCGCCAGTGCTACATCTCTACAGCGCCCTAGGCTAGGGCCCCAGTTCTGGGGGTGGTGGCCAGGTTCGGGGGCGGTAAGACACTAAGTCTTTCAAGGTGCCTGGTAGCCGTGGCTTTATATGTAAAACGCTAAGATTTCGGTAAGAAATGCGGAAATCTGGTCTATTGTCCGTTCGCTCGATTTAGTCTACCGTACCAAATAGTGTTTGGACATGTCATCTCGCGTATTCTCTGCGGATCTCGAAGCCGACCGAATATCTGCAAGTACCCCTCCTCAGTGCCACGTACAACTCCATTATTTGACAAAAGTAATGCAGCTGTATTGCAAGATGCCATCACTTATAACTGTGCTCGAAATTCTGCGGCGAGAGTTGTCTCGCCCTTTTACAATTCTCTATCTCGACCAAGTCAAACAGATGCCAAAATGGGTACCATAAACCCGGATCACGAGCGACAGTTTGACGGACCTCTGCAACTATCCGGTGCTCTTGATAAATACGAATCTTTCGAAGTCACTCCACTTCTCGGGACCGAGTTTCCCAATGCTAGCCTCAGGTCCTGGTTTGAGTCCCCAGACTCCGACGTACTGATGAGGGAATTGGCAATCACAAGTAAAGGTGGCATATCTCCATTCCCTGGATTTTGTACTAAGTTATTACCCAGTCTCGCAGCGTGGTGTCGTCTTTTTTCGAAAACAAGACGACCTGACCGATGACCTCCAAAAATGTATCGTCCAGCGACTTGGAGAGTTGACCGGGAAGCCAAAAACATCCAAGCTGCATATTCATCCATTCTTCTACTCTGCACTGCCATTGGGAACTGATGATGACGAATTAAATTTTATCAGCGCCAAACAAGATGCCATGGCATATGGGAAACCAGAAAGATTTACCAAGAGACAGAGTGCTCGGTGGGAATGGCACACGGACACCCCTCAGGAAGTTATACCTTCCGATTATTCTATGTTGCGCCTGGTGGAATTACCAAAAGGTGGAGGTGGAGGTATAGTGGTTGATATGTCTTTCTTCTGTTAATCAGCTAACCCTCGGCAGACACCCTCTGGGCCTCTGGATACGAGATCTACGATCGTATATCCAAGCCATACCAGCAGTTCCTTGAGGGGCTTACTGCTACCTTATCGGAGCCCAAATACGAGTCCTTGGCCAAGAAGTTGAACCATTCGCTCCATCCCGGACCTCGCGGATCACCGGAGAACGTCAAGTTGACGCCGGTGGTTCATCCAGTAGTTCGAACCAATCCAGTGACAGGGTGGAAGAGCCTATTTACCGTCGGGCACAGCGTGAAGAAAATTAATGGCTTAACGGCGAACGAGAGCGAGAATCTGCTCAGGTGGTTTACACAGTTGATCATGGAAAATCACGACCTTCAATTGCGACATAGGTGGGTGAGTCCGAATGATGTTGGTAGGTGTAACCTCACAAGTCTCGTACTATTCTAGGCTAACCAAAGACATGGCAAGCCATCTGGGATAATCGTTGCGTCTTTCATGCGGCTACTAAAGACATCGATGTGGATGATGACCGAGCCGGTCACAGGGTTTCGGGGATTGGTGAACGTCCGTATCTTGACCCTAAGAGTCTCAGTCGACGGGAAGCGCTTGGCCTTCTTTGATGGTAATAACAGTTTCGGGAGGGTGAGTATTCGATTTGTTTTATTTTGATCTATACTACCCTGCGAAAATATGGAAATTCAGTTCAACATATCCTGTATTGAAGTCTTCTATTCCACACAGTCATCACAAGATCGAATATGGTAGCATGTATGAATGAAAAGCCATCAAATTCCTTCACAATTCACTAAATGCGGAATCTCACTAAGGACAACTTGATTTGCCAAAAGCGAAAAGCGTTAGAAGTGAAAATAACGTAAAGTCCGCCCGCAACTGGCCTAATGGTTTGCCAGTGGTGCCGGAAACACTCGTGTCAGATACTGTCGTACGTCCTCCTTTTTCTCCCCAAAATCACAATTAGTGTTCAAATCAGGGATGATCCAGTAATTCAAATGATACCCTCTAGTACCTAGCGGTCGTTCTACACGATGGACCGAATGTTTGATCTCATCGACCATTCTTCTGAAGATATGACCAGACAGCAAAAGAAGCTCTCCAGGCTTGCAATTCGCCGGGACGAAGGGGGCAGTCTCCGCAACTTTCGTAGTAGATAGGTTCCCCTTGAAGTTATGCATATCTGCAACATGTAGACCCGCAAGTGAGTCTTGGAAATTAAACAGCATAGTTGTGGGGTCCATGTGAGGAGCAACGCGAACCGTAGCCAAGTCTCCCTCATCATCGAAGGGGTAGTAATACGGCGCAAAGAAGGAGTTCCGTTTGCTATGTATGGTGTTCAAAGAATGAGGAAGATTCAGTTCCGAGGATAAAGCGTCTAAGAGGGGGACATATATGCGATTGCACTCCTATTACTCAAGCCTCAGTAAGTATCTTATTTGCATGCGGAGCGCGCTCGCCAATCAAGCCATCTCATAAGTTCTAATACGTACCTCGTGCATCGCTTTTGCAGCGTCCACAAGCTCACTGGCGGGTGCAGACCATCTCTCCCCCAGCCCATAAACACCGTATTGAAGTTCCAAGGTCTCATCCATGTGTGGTTCTCCGCGGATCAACTCGCTTGCGTACGGAACAAAACGAGACTGTCGGGTTGCACCAGAATTGGAGTGATCCGCGATCTTTTCCTCCATCGGTCGTTCAAAGAAGCCTGGGCACTAACCTAAAATTTAGTCGTTTCAACCATAGGAAACCTGAAGCTAGACTCAGGCAGTACACTCACCTTTTCAAAGCATTTGTCTATGACACTCTGTGGGATTCCATGATCGCTAACCCGACAAGCTCCGTAGCGGCCTAGAGCCCGTACGAGCTCTGCCCTACTCGAATCGCGGATATTCTTTTCCTCATGTAGAAGATCGAGGTAGCTAACTAATGGAAGTGGATAGTTTTCTTCGATGGACCCCATTGTGTCTATAGAGCCCACTTTCAGTTTCACGCCGGTAGTTTGAAAAGCTGGGGAAGCGCATTTACAAATAAACCCATAGCTGATAGATCACGCGAGTTGATTGATTCAGCAAAGTTGCTGCATTGACACGTCAGACCGAAGCACTGGCCCGCGCAGGTTTCAGCTCCCCTTACGCTCGGTAGCTTAAATTGCAGTGCTCGCTTTATTATTCTACTGGAAGTGTCAGTTATCCACAGGTATATTGGGCATGTGCTTTTTTGTGATGAACACTGCCATTGAATCGATAACGGAACGTTGGGCGGGGTATAACATATACCGGCCCAGCTTTCGCAGTTTGAGTAAATTCTCATTTTCTATAGGAGGAATCATTTAATAGAACCTTCCCCTCGGGCTCTACTAATTCTTTAGTTTTTTAACGTGCCATGGAGGCGTAGTAGATAGTTGAATCCAGCGAGATCTTGGATCCTGTTGAAAATGCGCTAACGGCTTGATCGTGTTCCGTTGACTTAGGTTTCCTCCGCTAATGCATGCCGCCTGGCAATGCCGCAGTACCAACTTGACAGCGATATCGGTAACATTCGCCCAATAGGCTGAAGGGTCAGTATAGATCTCCATGACGGATTTTATTCCGAATCAAGTTCTACGTGTGTAACTGTGCTCTTGCCTTTTCTACTGTGTAGTTGCGCAGATGCTGAGCTAATCGACTTGACTCAGAGTGTATATATAGTCACGTTGACATAGAGTAGTCTTACGTGGACTATGTGGCATACAAAACGACAACTTTGTCCTTTCCAGTGTTCCCTATTTTTAAAACTATATTAAAACAGTACATAGAACCTACCTTTATTATTATTATTAAGATACTAACTGATATAGGGTTTACTAAAGAGAACTGGACTGCAACGGCGGGCTATATAAGTCACCCCAGCGCATTCTGGATCGTTGATCCAGAATTACTCTGACCTTTCGCCTTGTAGAATATCGGGCCCTGGCGATATCTCTTACACTCCTCTACATATTGTCAAAACGCCAGCCTATTCATGGCTCAAGCATTATTTTTGTCAGACGATGAGCTATTTCTCTGTCATGAACTATTACTATTTGAGGGTGGGCAAGATATTTGGCCCAATAGTACTACAGAGAAGAAACAAGTACTTGCCGCTCCGTATGAACAGATCCACTCTCGGCTTCTATCGTGTGTTCCGAAAGTGAGAGACAGCTTGTGCCTTGGAAGACTGTTCGAACTGAAGCTTGTACTGAGCAATGCCTCTCGTGGCTTGTTCACCTTAGGGCTTAAGATGTACTTTTATATCACAATGGACTAGTATGTTTGTGCCGCCCTCAGTCGACGGTTCTGAATGGATGTATCCATTAGATAAATCTTCTACTATGTCTGATATCATCAAGGTGCAGCATCTATACATGGTCTGATGCCATTTGTTCTTATGATGTGACTTTCAGATCATTATAAGGTCTAATACCAATATCCATCGATAATAACAGATCTGAAAACAGCCCTCTATTAAATCTACCAACAAATCTAATCCATTACTCTCTATCCTCCCTTCCCAGATTCCGAAACGGGTTCGCAGGATCATTCTCCTCCTCCTCAACCGAAGGAATCGTCTTCTTCACCCGACAAGGACTGCCAACCCCCACCGAATAGGGCGGAATATCCTTAGTCACAATCGACCCAGCACCGATGGTGGATCCCTTCCCAATGCGCACACCCGGCAGAATGACTACATTAGCCCCAATCCAGCAATCATCCTCGATGAAAATGGGATGGCCAAACTCGACAAACTTCCGGCGCGAAAGCACACTTGTGTCGTGGCCGGCAGTGATGATGCTGACATTCGTGCCGATTTGCACCCGGTCGCCGATGACAACGAGACTGGTGTCTAGCACTGTCAGGCTGTTGGTTCGTGCCATGTTAGCGTTTCGCGTTCGTGGAAGGTGGCTTTTGCGCGTGTATTTGGCACACTCACTTCCAGTTGACGAAGCAATCGCTTCCGATGATGAGGTTCGACCCGTAGTCGGGTCTGAAGGGCGGCTCGATGAATGTCCCGTCTCCCACGCGGCCGACGAGCGCCCGTAGTCGCTCCATGCGCTTGTCTGCGATCTGGTCGTAGGGGACTGTCTTGGTGTCCAGGTTGTTGTAATCATCTGTTAAGCCGCGGCAGCGGTGGCGAGCTTCCAAGAGCTTTGGTGTGTTGGGGTTGTACCTGGTCTCGTTAGCTTTTGCTCACCACTAGGATTGCCAATAGGGCCTTGAAGAGGGGTTTGATGTCTAGGACTGGGCTGGAGTCAAACATACATCATTCCAGAGACCATGTATTCATATTCCTCGCACATAGGGACCCCGTTTAACCCACGTGCCAGCTCGATAATCTCGGGGCGTTTCTGTGTAGCTGCCATTTTGTCTATCTGTATTGAAATCCGACAATGATCTTCTCCCAAATGTCAAGAATAAAAGACAGAGATTGAGATAAGTAGAATGAGTAAATCGGCTATGCAATGACTTAAACCGACCAAACGGTCCAGAATATATGCGCTCAACCGAACCGAACAGCTGTTATTTAGGCAATCTTATAATTAGGACTTTGCCTCCTGAAATGCTCCACTCCTGATGAGTACGTACTGGGTCTAATTATTGCGGTGGGTGACTGTTTCAGTGCAGCAGTTGGATATCATGATGCCACGGTCATGGACCCCGCGGAGACGACGCCAGATGGATCTCCGACATTTCCCCGACGCCCAAACTCCCTTGCCTATTCTGGGCAAACTGCCAGCAGCCGTGGGGGCTTGAGAGTCAGGTGAGGGGGCGGGGACATCTGCCAGCTTTCATCGTGCAGATGCGCTAACCGCTTTTGCTCTTTTAATAGCCGCGCTTATCGGCCTTATCAGTGGGGCTGCGCTAACTGTTTTCGGTTGATATGTTTGGACAACTAGAAGTATACTCCGGAGTAAGCGATCATGGAGAGAATTTTGTATACGGTCAGCATAGGCTGTATGTATAGTGGGTGAGGAGACATGGCGGAGAATTTATTATACCACTTAGGGGATATATTTCTATAAGTTTAGAATGAGGTTTTGCGCCTGACAAGTGATTAATTGACACTAACAATGCTATGATAGCTACTATATCAGAAAACAGAAAAGCTCTATCCCGTAGAACGCCCATACTTAGATCCGTAGAACTACATTCTAGCTTTGACAGGCTTATTACAGGCGCTCTTGAGTTCCCGAATAATCTGCAGTGCAGCCTGAGACCCCTGCTCGAGCGCACCGTCAATAGATGCCCGCCAACCATGGGCCCAGTCCGCAGAGGCAAAGAAAACCTGTCCATGGCGGCTCTGCAGCTCATCCTGATACTTTGACATGAACTCGGGACGCCACCATGCGGGACCACCTTGAGACCAGGGATCGGTGTTCCAGTTGTGGAAGACCTGTGCAGGGATTAGTAAACTGCAAGTATATCAACAGCGGATGAGGAAAATACCATCTTTTCCACTTCCATAGGGTGTAGCTTTTGGAATGCATCAATGGCCTTCTCTGGATCCCGTTCAGGGACAAATACGTCTCGTTCATCCTTCCCGAAACCCACGATGTGCGCGTTGCCGCTGGGTGTGACTCCGTCCCCATAGCCGAACATCAGAAGATTTGGATACCGCATGCCGTTCCACGAGGTTAGGTCTGATCCTTTAACATCTGCGTGGATCTTGGTCATGTGGTTGACGTGTCCGATTGCAATTGCTTGCTGGCGTGTCGGAGAAAGAGGCGGAGTGAAAGAGATAGTGTGAAGCACGTTGAGTGGAATAGTGCTCACCACGCGGCGAGCTCGATATTGTTTACCTCCTGTTGTGGTTACCTTTACTACGTTGGTCTCATCGATGACTGACTTGATCGGTGTTTGAAAAGCGTACTGCAGCCCGTTGTCCACGGCCTCCTCAAACATAGCACGAGCAAGGGCCGACTGGCCTTGACGGAGCTTGAATGTAGTCCATATCGGGCCAAAGTTGTCTGGGCTATACGACATCAGCGCATGGGACCGGACCATGTCCCACAGGCTGGAGTTCTCCATACTACCACCGGAGATGTGAAGCAGTAATGCAGTAAGTATTCCTGCCTCTTCGGGCGTCAACAAGTGCTTGATCTCTTCGAACCGGTCGCGACAGGAGATCTTGTCGTATCGTTCCACCTCAAGTCGATCGACCAGAATGTTATCGAGCTGCGCATGCGGTAATGGACAGATTGCGCGGCAGTTCTGTCCGTCCACGTTGACGAAGATATTCCACGCTCGCGCAGTGATTTCACCTGCTTCCTCGTGAGAGAGTTTTCGTGGGGTTGCCCCTGAATGAACAATCAGTTAGAAATATCCATGAGGCTTTATAAAGTAGATGAGGCTTTGTGCACCTGGAACGTTGATTGTGTAGTAATCATTGGCATATTGTCGATCGTGGGTAAGGATAAGATCTCTATCCAACTTATACCGCGTCATCTCTTGGAATAAATATGCCATATGGTGGGTTACCCATGTTCCTCCCATCTCGTATAGAAAGCCTTTGGCGAGTTAGCTATGCCACGAATTTAATCTGAAGGACTGGAGAGATAAATGCTTACCATCAGACTCGACAGTATACGTTCGTCCACCGACACGATCACGGGCCTCCAACATCAAGACCGAGAGACCTATAGCGCATGAGCTTAGATTTCTGTACGATAGAACATTGCTTACCGCAGTCCGTCATATCACGGGCGGCCATCAGGCCACTATAGCCGGCCCCAATGACAACGGCATCGTAGATGTAGTCCACAGGAGCAGTTTGTCTCTCAGGAGGGTCCACAACACCTCCGCAATGGAGGTTGCCTTTCCGGACGCCAGTGCCCTTTCTCCATACATAACCATCCTGAGTTTTCTTCATCTTGTGTAGTGCTACCTTGTATTTCGTGGATAACACGGCAACCGGGCACGAATGTTAAAAATAGAGAAAGCGATGGACTATATGTTTTTGATATTTCCATAGGGAGAAGCGATACTGAGATTAAGTCCTACACCGCACTTTTATAAGTGAGCCCGTTTAGTCTGTGAATATAAACATCCCAGAAAAGGAAATCAGTGGGTTGTTAGTCCATGTCAACGCGAAACATGTCTGGCATGATCAATATTAACGTTGATATCAAGTTAGAGCAGCCGTCGGCACACAGCCGTCAGTTCCGTGGGTACAGCCAACTACCTAGTTAGGAAGGTGAGTAGTATTATGAAGTCTTATTCTTACCCTGTCGGACAAGTTCAAGGCTGGGAGAGTCTGGTACTGTCTAATGCGGGTCGCTGTGACTATCTCTGCTCGTCGCAAGATAGTATGAGACGTAGTCGGGGTTGATTGGGTACGGTCTGTTCCCAATTTCTTTTACCTCTGATACAGTATAAGTAGTACTAACTGCACGAGATTCACCAAGAATATATAGGGAGAATTTGGATCGATTTTGATTAGTCTGCTCCATGTGACTTCCTCACTACCCAACTGGACTAGGTTATACTCTACCAAAGCCAAGAGGATAGAAACTGGTTCCTAACGGATGCACCACAGTCTCTCGAGGATCCAACGCACTAACACCTCTAATCCAGCCCTAAACGCCCACTCCGAACCTCCCGGCTTCAGGAATCACCAAACGCGAATAATAATTTGGATCGGGTGTCTCCTATATTGAACATTATTAGTCCCGTTACGACCGACAGAAGCTATCCGATGCCTTGGCGAGGAACAAAGGGCTCGGGGCTTATGGAACCGACAGGAATCTGGCCATCCTTATATCAGCACTGTTGTTCTCGAGCTGCATAGAAACGTGCTTGATCAAGCATACTTACTTAACTAGTTTCACATGGGACCCACTAGTGCTTCACTCCATCATCAGAATATCATTCCTTATTTGAGTCTATTTGATATCTGTAGGCTTTCCAATATCATCGAATGCTTTATGCTAAGCTGGTGATTTCAAAACCCGAAACTAGATCAGCCGTCCACCGGACATGGAGAAAACTTCTACAAGGCTATTTTGCATTTCAAATGTTTTCACCGGATAATTGCGCTTGCGTTCCGGAGATGACATAGCGTACTTGGCTATGTTTCTTAGCTTTCATTTAAAGGAGGCACGCTGGCAATATCCAGTATACTACTAGATCATATAGGTTTTCTGGTCCTAGGGCGACGAGCAAGAGCGATGGCAACCACACCTGACCAGTAATATTTTCATGTATTTTTTTGTGGTCTCTCTATCATACGAGATGAGTTATCAATTTTTATTTTTTTTTTCCTTTGGCGAACAGTCGCTGAAAACGGGCGTTGCTGAGACCAGAAGAAAAGAAGTGGAGATGCGCCGTCCAACGACATCTCGGATGCTGTAGCTCGGCAACTGCCGGCCACCATGCGTAGAAACCACATATAAGGGAGACTATAGATGGAACCAATAAAGTTGACGCGCCCCGAGGGATTCCAAGAAGTTTACCCATATTTGAGAATATACTGAAATGTTGACATACGCCATGATAGCTACAGTGCGTAGATCAAGGCATCAAGCCAAGCATGCCAAGCAGACTCGCTTAAAGGTCCATCTCGGCTACCAAACCATTAGTTAGATTAGATTAACCAACTCCTTGGGTTATATAATTTGTAAGCCCATTAGATCTTGCCACGGTAAGCAGACCGACCTCAACATATTCCAAAGAACTCCACCAACACCAAGCACGTCATCATAAACCCGGCAGTACCACAAACGACCAGAACGCCTCGAACACGCAGTCCAACATGACCCAAATTCGCGTGGAGCCCGTCACAGACCCGGCGGACTTCAGCCGATTCTTTGAGCTGGCTGCCCTCACCTTCGGTCATCAGGTCCACGATGGGGTCTGGTGCGCCATGAACCCTGGCTGGGACACACCCGAGGGCCATGCGAGCGGAAGTGCCCGTCTTGCGGCGCGCTGGTCCGCCACCACCAAAGACCGACATGGCAACCCCAACACCATCTTTCTCAAGGCCGTCATCGACGGTGGCTCGGATGAGGGAAAGATTGTCGGCGCGGCTATCTGGGAGCAGGCTTCCATGGTGGACGGGTACGGCCAGGCGCCTGCACCCGATATCGGCAGTGCGCTAGACCTGGAAGCCCTGTACCCAAATCAGCCGGACGAACAGCGTTACCTCCGGCAGGTAGACCTCTCACTGCGCCGGCGCCGCTTGGAGGTTATCCGGGAGATTGCGACGAGCGCGTCCCCGGCGGTGATGGCGTTGGACTTATGTGTGGTCGACCCAGCGTGCCAGCGACTTGGAATCGCTACGAAACTGGTAGAATGGGGCCTGCGGGAGGCCAAGGCACGCGGCGGACTGGAGGCTGTGCTGGAAGGGTCGAGCATGGGGCGGCATGTTTACAGGAAGCTTGGGTTTGAGCAAGAAGGGGGCGAGTTCCGTTACGACGTGGACGATCAATTTCGGGATCGTGAGCAGCCGTCGAATGTATTTATGCGTACCGGTAGACCGGCAGTATGACGAGCTCCACTGCCTGGGAGTTTCCTCAGCAGAGGCATATGAAGAGGCTTGGGTCCTCAAGCTTGTCATTCTTCTTAACCCAGCCAAGTATAAAAGAATAAAGAAAGTCCATTAGACGTTTCTAGGAACATTCGACAGTATTGCTGATTCAGGCTTCAAAAGAAATCATTGCATGGAACTGTTATGCGAGCATGACCAGTGAAGGCTGTTGTAATTGCTTCAGAGAAATAGGAAACGGCTTTCCACCAAGCATTCTTCTGCCTGCAGGTTAGCGCATACCTCATTCTGGAGGATGCACCTAAAGCACAAGAAATGCGAGTGTTAGCTGAAGCTGTAATATTGAACTCTGTTCAAGGGGTGTTTAATCATGGAGTGTAATATAAAACCAGACTTACTAGTACTTGTTTTATAGTTTGGTAATAGTCTAATGGATCCACAGCTCTGCCCGACCCTCGATTTAACCCCATAGATGCAGTGTATGTCCGTGGTTTTGTGGATCAAATGCTTGTTGATTTGTAATCGTGACTCTGAGGCGAGATATTGATTTCTTTATGTTGAATAGCCATTGATACCTTAATATCTCCTCATTCTAACTTGTAGCAACCCTTGATATACGATTGCTTCACAAGATTCTGTATTATCGCTTCCCTTGCACGCTTTTGTTTACTTACCATGATGCCAAACAAGACCGCCAACACACCTCTGTATGGGCAAGCATCTCCACGAGTTCCGAGTCCCGCATTATTCCCACGGTATGATGCTTCGAAATCGCTGTCGAGTCACGAATTAAATGAAATTGCGCCAGCCAAAAGCAGATCTCAGTCAGGTAGAAACAGGCGAGACGATGGACCGAAACAACATCGCGATTCTGGAGAGCAAACAAATGATGACGGGCCGCAAACGACGGAGCGGGCAACGAACCAGACACTCCCACAGGAGAAGGCCAATTGGCAACTAGTCAGTGCATGTCTCATGAACTTTGGCAATGGAATGAACGATAGTGCGCCTGGTGCCTTGATCCCATATCTCGAGAAAGACTACCACATCGGATATGCCATTGTTTCACTGATTTTCATCGCCAACGCCGTCGGATTTATCCTTGCCGCTCCTTTGACTTACACGATTAAGGCCAAAGTAGGTCATTGTAGAAGCTATGCACTGTCTATGGGCCTCGTCACTGTGAGCTATATAGCGATTGTCTGTCACCCACCGTTTGCTGTCATCGTAGCTGCTTTTCTTCTTCTCGGCTTTGGAATGGCCATGAGCATAGCCATGAACAACGTGTTCTGCGCAAATCTTCCCAATTCTACCACTGCACTGGGCTGCTTTTCTGGAGCCTATGGCATCGGTGGAGTTATCTCACCATTGTTTGCCACAGCCATGGTGTCTCACGACATTCGTTGGACATACTTCTACACCATCACATTGGCTGTTTCTGTGGCCAACCTGTTGCTCTCAAGCTTCGCATTTCGGGATTACGATGAGAATGCCACTATGGTCTCCCAAAGCACCCGACTCAGCAATTCCTCACATGACCAGTAACAATGATCATTCACAGGGTCGATTGCAGTTGCTAAAAAAGGGGATTCAAGATCGCACGACGATACTAGGATCACTGTTCATCTTCGCCTATCAAGGTGCCGAAGTCTCCGTTTCAGGCTGGATAGTCTCATTTCTCATCAACTACCGGGGTGGGGATTCTCGAAGCGTCGGCTATGTGAGTGCCGGCTTTTGGGCTGGGATCACTCTTGGGCGATTTCTGATTGTGTATCCCGCCCACCGAATTGGAGAGAAAATTGTCGTCGGGTTGTTAGTAGTCGGGGCGATTGTCTTTCAACTCATGACCTGGCTAATCCCAAATATTGTCGGTGAGGCCGTGGCTGTGGCGATCCTGGGCTTGTTGTTAGGTCCCTTATACCCATGCTCTACGGCGGTTTTCGCAAAACTCTTATCTCGGCAGATGCAACTTGTAAGCCTGAGCTTCATCAGTGCTCTTGGGAGTAGTGGTGGGGCTGTTTTTCCTTTCTTGACTGGCATTCTTGCACAGCAGGTGGGCACAATGGTGCTACATCCCATTTGTCTTGTGTTGTATGCGGCGATGCTCATCACTTGGTGCTCCTTACCGAAGATCTCGAAGCGATCGGAGTAAAATTGCCTATATAACATAAGCCAGTATGATGTGCTAGGCCGTTGATATATGATACTTATTCCAATCTGGGCAAGGAACGATGCGTACGAGGACACTAACTAGTAATGTGGAGCAAAAAGAAGCTCCAGTATTTTTCCTTCCAAATCAGGAAATACAAACCCCACCTATTTAATTAGATATATTCGATATTGGTGTGGTAAGACACCACTACAATCTGTCTCATATGTACTGTGAGAGGTGGAATCCGTACCTTTTCAACATCTCAAATAATTTACTTCTCAGTGTATGGGCTCAAAGGAAATAAGAAACAGCCATGCCAACCACACCTTTCTTTGATTTACTGAATGCGCTCGACTCAATCAACAACGCAGAAAAATATTCTGCTTTCCATACCGTTAACGCTACATATAAGACATCCAGAGATGAGAATTCCCACATCACAGCTGACATTCTCATTCCGCGCACTTTGCGGGATACCCAATATCAAGGGCCACGGCCGGTGATCGTGCGAATCCATGGAGGTTTTCTTGTACGGTATGATGGAGACTATCTTCGAACCAAGGCTAAACTGTTGACAGGTAACGGGATCAAGTTTGTACCCACCGTGGTTCAGCAACTGGATCCTGGAATATGCCTTAATAAACAACGCCATCATCATCTCCCCCAACTACAGGCTTCTCCCCGAAGTGACTGGAAGAGATATCCTGAATGACATGAACAACTTTTGGCACTGGCTCCACAGCGGATCAGTAGATCCCATTATCTGGGGAGCTGGATACCAAGGTGTAACGCTGGACCAAGATTCAGTCTTGGTGGTCGGGGAAAGCGCTGGTACAAGATATTCCCTTTGCCCTTTTCTCTTGGCTTTAATTGCGGATCTGATGGCCATAATCTAGGGGGCTACCTAGCCATTCAACTGGCAATTACCTACCAGTCTGATATCCGCGGGGTCATTGCAGCGTATCCCATGGTGGATTTACGATCCAAATTCTACACAGAGACATACTCCAAGCCAGTTGTCGGAGTGCCCAATGTCCCAGTCAGCTTGCTCGACGATCACCTTGCCATGATGGCAACCAGGAAACAGGGCCGAATTGAATGGGTTACAGCAGCTGATCCGCCAGATCGGCTGGAATTGGCATTCTCAACGGTTCAGAACGGCAAATTTCTAGATTTTTTCGGATCGAAAGATAGAGGGCTCTTTCCGATGGAGAGACTCCAGGATCGAATCCTGGCAGGAGAGAGGGTCCAGTTACCACCGATGTTTATCTTTCATGGGGAACAGGATTCGGCAGTTCCGGTAGATAGTTCAAAGGCATTTGTGCGGTTTTTGAGGGAGAAGGTACCGCATGCCCGTGTTATGTTTTACACCCAAGACGGGGACCATGGGTTTGATGTCGATGCAACATTAGAAACTCCGTGGCTGAAGGATGGGTTGCAGAGGATTTCGAAGGTGTGGTTGGAATCATGTAGCTCTAATCTCTGATATGGTTACTCCTTGTAATGATTTTTTTCTTGTGCCTACAATGCAAAAAATAGTATAATCCAGACATTGTACGCAAGAGGGCTCTTTTGTTCTTCCCCTTTTACCCTAGTCCATCTTCTCATGTGGAGTATGACGAGACAGTCTAAGGCAAAATTCTGATCAACATAGCAGATACTCCCTATCCTTGAAGCCTTCCTAATTAATTGATATCCGAAGTTTTCCCGCCAAGCGAGAAGTTGGGCCAGTTCCCTGATTCGGCAAAGCCCTCAACTTCCCGATTCAGCAATGTTGTTCAACCCATCGATATCACTTTTTTGCAGAAGCTTCTGGATCCCCTCATTGATGCGGGGTTGGCAGTGGTATCGGAGCTTGATAGGAAACTGATAAGAGAGATATATAGCACCTATGATATTCTTCACTGTTCACAATCTCTGTACTTCCTATACAATCATTCCAAGCTTCTCACAGCAGTTCCTATTCTCACATTCACATCAAAATGACCACCGATTTCTCTGGCGTTTCCCTGAAGGGCAAGACTGCCATTGTCACAGGTGCCTCTCGGTGAGGAGCAAACGGGATCCCCCATTTGCATGGACCTTATACTAACAGTACCATATAGCGGTCTCGGAGCTGGCATTGCCCTCCTCCTCGCCAAGCGCGGCGCCAATGTCGTCGTCAACTACGTCTCTGACGGCAGTGCGAAGCGCGCCCAGGAGGTCGTAGACCAGATCAACAACCAGATCGGCACGAAGGCCATCCTGTGCCGTGCGGACGTCAGCAAGCTGGAGGAAATCCCTTTGCTCGTCGACGCGGCGCTGAAGATTAGTGAAACCGGCAAGATCGAGATCCTGATTCATAAGTTCGTCATTCTATTCCCTCGCCTTGTTTTCCATGTGCTAACATGTTGGCCGATAAAAGTGCCGCCCAAGGTCTGGAAGCAAACCTCCTCGATACCACCCCGGAATTCTACGAGACACACTTCAACTGCAATGTTCGCGGCCCGATCTTCCTGACCAAGGCTGTCGTCCCGCATATCGCCAAGGGCGGGAGGATTGTGTTTATCTCGTCTGCTGGTGCGCGCCTGGGTGTCGCGGGCCAGACTGTCTATGCGGCTACGAAGGCCGCAGATGAGGCTTTGGTGCGTGTCTGGGCTAAGGAGCTCGGTCAGTCGCATAATATTACGGTGAACTGCGTCAACCCTGGTCCGATTGCTACTGGTATGTACTTGTGTTGTGTTTAACTCTTCTTCGTGTTGATACTAATGTCCTGTAGACCAATGGTTCCAAAGTGATGAGCAGTTCCTGAAGGACATGCAGCCGTTGATTGAGTCCACTCCGGCTGCGGCGAGGGTAGGAGAGGTGGACGATATTGCGCCTCTGGTGGCATTCCTTTGCAGTGATGACGCTCGCTGGACTACGGGAGCATGCTTGTCAGCGAATGGTGGTCTCTACAATTAGTTCAGTTTGTGTTTTAGAGTAGTTGGTAGTCATAGCATCAATGCATTACGCTTCAATGTGTTTCAAACCTATTATATAGCCTCCACTCTGATAACGCTGCTGTGTACCATCCCGAATACCTATAGTGACTCAATCCAGTAAAATCAGAACCTGGCTCAACTAGTTTGTAAGAGAAGCAAGATGAAGACTCAAGCCTCACAATTGAACCACTACCACGAGTAACCCAAGCCTCGTCCCCCCCCCCCAAGACAACATTTCTACGCAACTACCTCACAATATCAACAAATACAAGACGAGATAACAACCACTCAAACTCATACATAATACCATGTCCCACCACCCAGTAACCCAAAGGTATAGAAACACAATCCCCTAACAATCATGATAAACAACCCCCTCAGCCGCGATCTCCGCCCTCATCCCCTTCACATTTATCTCCTTGACAATCACCGTACACCAGGTCGGCGTATGCCCAGGAACCATCCTCCGAAAAACATCCTGCATAACCTTCTCATCCTCGACATGGACAAGATAGCTCGTGAAACGATAGCCCTGGGCCAGTCCCTGGCTCACCCCGGCGTTCTTCAATGCAGCATCGAGACAGGTGAAGATGGCTTCGAATTCTGCTTCTGCTGTTCCTTGGACCAGGTTGCCGGTTTTGAGGTCCAAACCGATGTGGCCAGTGGTGAAGACGAGTGAGCTGGTGGGAGATACTGGTACGGTGGCTGTTGTGGCGAGTGAGGCCGGCTTTAGGCAGTCGCCTACTG